ACGCACCCGCGGAAAAGAATGATGGGTCAGTAAGCAGCCCCGTGAATCTGTGTCGGTCCTCTGCCCACTTTCTCAGGAAAAGACCCACCAAATTTAGGCTGAAAAAATTCAAGACGATAATCGTCAGACCACTGGGCAGAGACTGACTTACACTGGTCCCCGTGTATCATAGCAAAACAGAAGAGGACCAGGGTGCACTCTGATTGGAAAAGGTAAGGTTAGAACAGGTGGTAAAAAGAAAGGTAGGAAATACAGAGTGGGGCAAAGGGAACGTCACATCCTCCCCCTCCCCCCCTTCTAAAGAGGACAGTCCGGAGAAAAGTTCCATACAGTAGCTGCGGTGCAGGTTCTTGGACACGTAGACTCATGACACTGCAGAGGTTCCGAAAGAGGAGCTCTTCGGGAGAAAAGGCCGATCCAGCAGAAGCTTGGGAGGGAGGGAGGGAGGGAGGGGGGCTGACGCGTAATGAGAAGAGTAAGGACGGAGAAGAATGCCCCCTGAAGAAGTAGAAACTGAACAGCAAACAAATGGAAATACATATACGTAGTACGCAAAACAGTAACAAAACAAATACACAAGAACAATCCCCTAAAGGAAGGGATCTTCCCTAGATCACATAATTCCCGATAGAGTGCAAATGGAACAACAGAACAAGAACTTCCTTAATCCAGCAGAGCGCAAACCTTGTGACCGGCAATGCGAATGCAAACTCGTGGTACATCCGGAGAACAAAACGCACAAATTTGAAAACGCTTTAAAAAATAAAAAATATGGCCGAGTCCGGACCGGGGCTTTTCTATTTTTCATGTCCGGGTCACGGGCGTTTGTTGAATATTAGAACGAGAAGGGATCCGCGTGGAGGACGCTTTGAACAATCCTTGTTTAATGGTCCCAAACGATGGCAATAACCGCATTCCCTCTTAAACTGGTAGCGGATTCCGTACTGGAGGAAGTGAGACCGTCATACTATAGGAATATTCAGAGCTAGCGGAGAGCACGTAAAGGTTTTCAAGTTCTACAAAGGAGTTGCAATCCTTCGCGAACACTAAACATGACCTTACAGTAGGAATTAAGCCATCCAAAATAACACTCAGAGCACAGGAAACGAAGAATCTTAAGGTATAGTTTAATTTTGGCCACATAATCTGCTAGAAACTCGCCCTGACGTAAGAAAAACTGCTTCAACGCAGCTCTAGAGGGGGCCGGGAAAAATACTTCCAGCGTGTCCTCATGATACCCTTCTAGAGACTTAGCAGCGCCGATAGACTCTCTAAGTCTCCGCGACAATGAGCCTGCCGCATACGGGTGTACAATTTGCAAAACAGAAGTATCAGGAATGGAGAAGACTGCAGCATAAATACGTATTTCCAGGAGTAGTTTAAAAAATGCAACACTGACTCAATAATAAAGGTTAACGAGACAAAATCCCCTCCTCAATAGTGATGGGCAACTTCGTACACGGAAACGCGCGCGTATCGACATGGCTTGTGTTTACCGACTCTGAAGAAGTTTCCAAAGCCTGCAACTGATTAAAGCCGCTGGCTTGGGTAAAATTAGAGGTAACATGATCAAGAAAACGGAGCTCCGGAGTGGACCCTTGCGAAGGCTTGATGAGATGAATAAGAAACTCTTCTATTGACGGCATTAAGTGGGAAACGCCCTCAGACAATTCTTCTAGGGAGGAAGTATTGGCCTGGTCTAAAACTTTCCTGTTAGCTAGGTCACGAGTCCTGTAAGTCAAATGACGTAGGCGCGTCATAATCCTGGCATATTGATTAGGCGTGACGTTGGCAGCCCAAACTTCTGTTACTACTTCTTGAATCTCAATCAATTTATTACGTAATGTTCGCAACTCACCCAGTGGTTCGATGGAATCCATGGCCAAGATGTGAATCTCGCTGCCTGGTAATTCACGTAAATATTTCCTGAGGCCGGGGACCTTCAGCTGTTGTTGGTGCAGTCTCTTCCGTATGGTGATCTCGTATTCCAGCTCACCCTTCCTGAGGTAATCCTGGTTCGGAAGTGCTAGATCCATAACAATTAAAACCTGCAGAGACAGATTAACAACAATTCAAAAGAAAAAGTTCAAGTAGAATAACAGAATATCTTGAATTAAAATCGAAAAACCACGCTATGTGCTATGAGTTGAAACACACACAGGCCCACTTTCTTTATAAGACTATTATTTACTCACAAAACACAAATCAAGATTAGTCACACACGGGAAAGAATCATGGATCAGCAAGCAGCCCCGTGAACCTGTGTCGGTCCTCTGCCTCCTTTATAAGCCAGGAAAAACCTAAGAGACGATAATCGTCAGACCACTGGGCAGAGACTGACTCACATTGGTCCCCGTGTATCATAGCAAAACAGAAGAAGATCAGGGAGCACTCTGACGTGAAAAAGGCAAGGTTAGAACAGGGTGATACAAAGGAAAGTACAGAGTGGGACAAAGGTAACGTCACACTGTAAAAGAAGTTAAATGGGCCGCGGAGTCATCTGGATGCAGTGAAGAAGAAAAATTCCTGCCCTTGCCACGAGTCGAACACTGGACGCCCAGTCCGTAATTCCTTAACTGTGTAATGAATAAGCTGTGGATTCTTCTTAAATTACATAATTTATCTTTGTGGATCATACAATTATGTATGATGCATTTAATTATCTTCACTCATGAAAGAAATTACTTTATGGCAGTGTGAATCTCCGTATCCGTGCAGTTTAAGAACCTATATTCGGTTTACTGAATAGTAGTAAAAGTAAAGTAAAGTAATAAGTAAAGTTTGTCCCACTATACGCCATGTAGGCGTTTGGGGTGAGTGGAGGTATAGCTTCTCTCTTCCTTGACCCCGGCACTAGATGGGGGTGAGTGGTCAGCATCACGCCCCGGCCGGCTTTACGCCCGGGAAAGGACCCCGGTACCCATTGTATAGGAGGCTGGGTGGGCCCCAGAGTCGGTCTGGACGCAGAGGCTAGAG